GAGACCGTCCCGCTTCCCCGCCCAGCGCTTAGTGCAGCCTCCGCTCCCGAAACAGCCTCGACACTCGTAAGGAACAGAGGCGCGCCGGAGGCCAATGGAACGAACTCGAATGCTCGGGGGCTGCTCGGAGACTTGCGCCGTACAGCTCGTGAGGTCTCGAACCTCTCCCCCAAGTCCGCCTCTGCTGCTCAGGCTGCGCCTGCCGCCCTGGGAGCCGCCATCTTGAGACTAACTCCCCCTTCCCCCCTATTCTCTTCCTCCTGGGTCAGTTCTTCCACTGCAAACCAAACGCAAGGCAGCGTCCGATCCTCGCTTCCCTCCTTATGCCTCCTTCCCACAGGAGCCGCTCCAAAGAGCCAGAGTTAGGCCCCGAAGTGGCAACTGTACGGCAGAAGGAGCGGTAACGGCAGGGCGCTCATGCCTCCTCCCTGGGAGCCGCCATCTTGTGTGAAGAAGTAACAACTAAACATGGCGGCAGCGGCGGTCGGGCGAGGGGGCGGAGTCGGGTGACGTCACTGTCTCTTCCCCACCACCACCACCCCCGCCCTCGCACGGCTGCTCCGTGAGCCGAGGCCTCTTAAAGGACCCCCGCGCTGCCTCGCGGCGAGGGCCCAGGTCCGCCGCGCGCTAAGCTTGGGCTCAGGCCGCTCTCGGGTCAGGCGCAGGCGCGCCCAGCCCCGCGGCCCAACCCCCCCATTGCGCCCTCACGCCTCCGCCCTGGGAGCCGCCATCTTGCCACTTCCCCTCGCCCGGCCGTCCACGGGCGTCAATAGCGACTTTCAGCACAAAACAAAGATGGCGGCTGAGGCATCTGGTGAATGCCCGGATGAGAATACCTCAAACGAGCTCGTCCCCGCCCCCTTGGGAACAGTCCCCCAGGTCGCTGAAGGAACACACGCCCCAGGAGTTGCATTTAACTAGCAGTGGGGACAAGGCATAGACTGTTGAGGGAGGCTGAAGGGAGACATCAGAATTGCGCCTCGAGAGCGGACATATTCCCACTCCCCACACCCAGCGACCGCGGGAGAAGCGGCCCGAGACGCGCCGGGGCGGGGGGGGGAGTCGGAGGCGGGGCGAGTGGGCGGTGACGTGCCGGCTCCCAGGCTCGCCGGCCCCGCCCTCGGGAGCCGGCGCCACCGCCGGCGCTCCAACTAAAGGAGCCGGGCCGTGCGCCCGGGACCGCTTCCCGTCCCTCGCCCCGCCGGCCGCAGGGCGGGCAGCCAGGCCGGCGGTACCCGAGCCGAGCGGGAGGGCGCGGGAGAGCTCCGCGTCGCCCCGCGTCACCTCGCGTCACCCCGCCCCGCCTGCTTCCCAGAGACCCGCGCCCCGCCCCTACGCGCAGGCGCAGGGCCGCTTTTCGGGTCCGCCCTTCTCCGAGATTTGAATTTCCCCCAGCAAATATAGAGAGGGAAGTACCCGGATGGTGATCACTGGCCTTTTCGCGCCAATACTGTAAGATCTCGCTGCAACCTTGAGAGGTGGGTACTGGCATCAACTCCATGTGCCAAACCTTGCAGGAGGCCGCCCAGGCACTGCCCCGTCATCTGCACTGTCAGACTCAAGCTGTAGCGCAGGGGTCCTGCGCAGGTGCCTGGGAGCTTGGAACCACAACAGATGGTTTTCCCACTTTCTCTCAGCTTTGTTTTATCTTTATTTTCAGCAACTGATAGTCGAAATTTGGCCTTTCCTGCAATTACGAATGTAGGCTACAGAGCACAGAGTGTTAGCTTGGTGACTTTGTCACCAGTGGAAGTTACAGATCATTTCAGATCACTTAGCTTTTGTTGTAGTTATCCTGAAATTAACTCAAATACAAGACTTAGCGGCAGGCAGAATAACGACTTTGAAATTATTGTAGCTACAATCTGCCCGTAGATTCTGTAATTTCATTTACTAGTAAAGTAGCACATATATTACCGAATCACACATTTCCGAAACTATTTCCATACCATCTTTAAACATATTAAATTTATGTTGTAACTCTCTGTTTTTATGCATTTGGAAGCGTTTCTTTGAGAAAGGCCAAAGACACCTGTGACAGCCAAAGGACATTTACCCTGTAAATGACTGTGCCACCAACTGCCCTAAATGACCTTGGGCATTCACCTCATGTCTGTGGTCCCACGTCCCTCCCCTGTAAAATAAGGAAGATGAGCTACTGGTTTCCAAGGGCCTTGCCTGAATTCAGCAATTCTCTCCCTAGAGTTCAGGAATCACTGGAGTTGCTCCAGGCTTCTCGGGTATCCAGGTGGCCCAGATTGGCCTCACCTGCTGGGGGTGTCCCATGTTACAGCCCTGAGGCTGGCATCCCCTCATGTGCAGAAAAGCAGCAAGGGTGGTCAGGATAGTCAGGGACACAACAAGCAGTTGTCATAAATGCTACAGGAAAGAAGCCACCACTGTGATTGCTGACAGTGCCTCTTGCTTAAATGCATATAGCCCCAGGAAGCAGGAGAGTCTAAGGAACATGTGTGAACCCCTTAGCCAGGATATTGTCATGCTTTGCAGGACTTCCCCCAAAAGACCCCAGAACTGCAGGCCAATGCTGTTGAGCCTCCGGCCATCGTGTGCCAGGTGCTGGGGGAATCTGTGTCGGGTAGCAAGAGTCATGACAGTTCAGGTGTGCGGAGGAGCTTGGCCATAAAGTACCGAGCCTGGTGTTCTTGGTGGATTCAGGAAGGTGGTTTGATGACATGTCACTTTCAGCTTGCACAAGGGCTCAGATGGACTCTGCCCAGCAGCCAGAGAGAGGAGTCATTTTCCACGCCCTTCCCGGACCTCCTTCTCTATCAAGTTGACAGTATTTGACTCCTGTCCCCGGCTCTCATCCATGCTTGCGGGCAGACAGGAGGTCCCAAAGGCCTGGCAATTCATGCCACAGAGCCATGCCCCAGAGAGGTGCAGGTGAGGTGTCCCAGCTGGAGTCAGGAGCTGAATGGGGAGGCCAAGTTGAAAGTGTTAGCAGACCTGAGGCAGGAGGGAATGAGGACAGCAGGATCTCATTCTAGCTGAAGGACAGACTGGGCCTAGGGAGCTTTCAGGGCTCCATGGGGATGGCACTTTGGTGGCCTGGAGATTGGGACGTGATCATGCATGGCGTGGAGAGCCAGCCCAGTGTTAACTGGGGACTGGCACCATCCAGCCCAGCGGTACTTGAGGAAGGTGCTGGGGGCTGTTGTGTGCAGACCACGTTAGCAGCGGCCTGCCTGGAAATAGGAACCCCAGGGCCCCCCGCCGACCTGGACCTGGAAGCTCGTTAGAGAAGGGCTTGGGGGAGTCATGTGACACAGCCACGAGCTGAGAAGGAGGCTTATAGTCAATGAGGAGATGCAGAGTCGGGGTGAGGGCTTTAGTTCACTGGTGGAAATGCTGGGCCTTGTGGTCCTCCTTAACGACGGGCCCCCAAGGCAGGGTGGGAACAAGAAAGCTCAGTGGGAGGCTCAGCAGCTCCCTCCGCAGAGAGTGTAGGTGGATGCCCAGGGCCCAGGTGAGAAGTGCAATGGTAATGTGCCAGGGGAAGCATGAGGAAGAAGGGTAGAGGTGCTGGCTTGGTGCTGAATTGAATTGAACTGGAATTGAGCAGGGACTCACTGAGCAAGAAGGAGAGCAGAGAGTCACACCCCACCCTGCCCTTTCCAGGCCTAAATTGCCGGAGGGGGTATGGGCATTGCAATGCCTCAGAAGTAAACACTGTGCGGTGGTCCTTATGTATAAGAGCTGACTTAATCCTCGTGATGACTCCTCTGCTGGGAGGCCCTGGCAGCATCTCATGGGACGGGTATGCAAACTGAGGCCCAGACCGGTTAAGGGCTGAGGTCACATAACTAGAAGGTGGGGGGAGCCGGAGTTTGAACACAGACAGTCCCTCTCAACCCCACCTGCTACCCTCTTGGCTTTTGAGTCATTTTCATTTTCAGGGCACTGAACCTTTTCTCTCTACGATGGAAATACCTTTCTCGGCTACTAGGCCAACTCACACCACAGCTGGCCCCAAAGCAGTTGACAGTCAGTGATAAGTGCACATGGTTTTCCCATGGTCTGCTTCTGTGACTGCAGGAAATGGAAAGAAGGCAACTTGGGACAGTGTGGCACTTCAGGGGAGGGCAGGAGGGCTAGCTGTGCCGCCTGGCCTTGCACCTGAGAAGCAGAGGGGGGAGACTTGTCCTCCTCCCCTCGTCCTCTCCCCCACCTTCCCCTCCTTCTCCTGCCCCCTTCCCTCCTCCTCCCCTTCCTCTTTTCCTCCCCCCTCCCCTCCTTCTCCTCTAGCACTGTCCCATCCCTTGCCTTGGATTCCAGAACTCACCACAGCTAACAGTCTCTAGATATTGGTTCTCTGGATATTTGGTTTAAAGGGCTTCGGGCTGACTGGAAATGTCAACATTTATGATACCGCTGAGGTGGGAAAGCCCATTCCGAATTGTAACAAGAGACCTTAGAAAGGTCTAAGTCTCTAAATGCAGTGGTGCTAAGGGAACTAGGGCAACGAGCAGGAGAGAAGGGCACGAAACCCCTAGGGGAGAGAACATTCTAGAGGCTTCCAGAAGCCACGAGTAAGAAAGTGAACACACTGTGGGTATTGCTTTACTTTTATTTCTGTTTTCTTCTGATGAAAACTGTTGGTGGATCCTAAGGCAGAGAGTTGGGAAGATGGAGGCTCTCTTTTGGATGGTTTTCTTTCTAACCACACTCTTTTCATAACCACAGAAGAAAAAGGCAGAACGCTCTTCCACTCCTGCCAGCCAGTCGGCAGGACCGCTACCTCTCTCTGGCCTGCGTCCACCACTCTGGGGCAAGGTCGTGCCATCTGCATCGGGAATCATGGGGACTTCTTCCTGCTGAAGAAACTGGCTCAGCCGGGAGGCCGAGGCGCGTTTTACAAAAGCGGTTTATCTGAATTCTGAACTGACAGTGGAGGCCGCCCCGAGTCCTACCCAGGGCTCCATGTGAAGCCTGAGTCCAGGCAGGCCCTCTTCCATGGGGCTGTGGCCAGCTGCTTCTGCATGGCCACCGTCTACACGGGGTGTTCAATGGCATCTTCGTCCAAGTGGGCTATGAACACCATGCCGAAGCCCGCATAGCCAGCCTCCCCGCCTTCCTGGCCATGCCCTTCAACTCATTAACTTGGCCTGCGTCCTCCTGGGGGTGTACTGGCTACAGAGAAATGCTAGGGCCCCAGGACGCCCCATGGAGGTGCAGAGGGCTCGCTACCTGAAGGATGTCTTTGCTGGCATGGCCCTGGTCTATGGCCTGGTTCGGTGGCTGCGGATTGCGACGCAGTTGCTTGACCAGTGGCTCACCTTGCCCATCTTTGCATGGCTGGTGGCCTGGCGCCTCTCCCTAGACGGGTCGGGAGGTTGTTCCTTGCCATCAGGTGTCTCTCCCTGGGCAGTTACGGCCTCGCCCTGCTGCACCCCTGTGGGTTTGAGGTTGCGCTGGGCGCCCACATCGCAGCTGCCGTGGGCCAGGCCCTGTGCCCATAGGCGCTACGGCACTGTCTCCTCGGGAGTCTCCTTGGCTCCGGGCGTGCTCTCCTGCTTGGGCTGTGTGGGCCTCGAGCTGTGTGACCATCAGCTCGCGCGGTGGCATCTCTTCCAGTGGCTCAAAGCCTGTGATGTGCTCCAGTTCCACTTTGCATTCTTGTTCCTGACAAATTTAAACACTTGCCGAAGCCCTCCTCCTGAGGGGAAGGTACATTAAAGTGTGGAAAGAAAAAACTTAAAAAAAGAAGAAGAAACGGGGCGCCCGGCTGGCTCAGTCAGAAGAGCATGCGACTCTTGATCTCTGGGTTGTGAGTTCGAGTCCCATGTGGAGTGTAGAGATTACTTAAATAAAGAAAACAACACTTAAATAAAGAAAACCAAAATGTGGAAAGAAGCTGACCACTGACCACCCCCACCCCCCTGCAGCTGTCATTGGTGTTAAACTTCCCGGATGTGAGACGATACGAGGATTACATGGAAGACCGTCCCTTCCCTCGAAGTTGTGGGCGTCAAGATTTAGAGGTGAAATGTTATGCTGTCTGCAACTTACTTTCAAAGAGACTTACTTCAAGACACTGTCACGGAACATCCCCCGCATTTAACCGACTGAGCCACCCAGGCACCCCAGAAGGGCATCTGTTCTTGAAAGACAAAGGTGAAGGCAGAGTTAAAGAGGGCACTGTCTCTGCCAAATGACATCTCAGGATGGGCTGCCCACGTGTGCCTGCTCAGTGTCCCCCAAGGCCCCTCTCCCTGGAGCCTGCAGGTTGGCATGTGGACCATTGCTATGACTGCTGACTGTTGAGATGCTTTTGAAACTGGGTACCTGTGCTGGATGTTCTGTCCCACCCGGGCACCTCTCAAGTGGGTGGTGGATCTGAACCATGAACCAAGCCATCACCTGAAGAAGCCCGCAGCTGAGAGCCAGTGAGCCTTGCCTCTGCTGGGGCAGTGGGCAGCCAACCTCTAACCCTCCCACAAGGCCCGGGCAAATGGTGTGGCCTGGCTCAGCGTTGGGGGCCCGGAGGCAGGGCATGCCAGTGGGTGAAGAGCAGGGTGGCGTTTGCTTGGGGAAACAGCTTTGTTCCATGACAGTGTCTTGAAGGCTCTATATGCCTTAGAAGAGGAAAAAGGCTATGGGTGTCTCTAGGGAGGCCACCCTTACCTCAGAGAGGTCAGCGGGAGGGAGGGGAGGATGTGCGTCCTTGGGTGGCTCAGGTAGGGATGAGGATGGGAGGGTGGGGGCAGAGGGGACCAGGGTCTTATATGGGGTGGGTTCTTCACCTAGTATCTGAGTGGTTCCTCCCCCCAGTTTTGCTGTTTTTCTCTTAGTAGCTGTTTGCCTCATGGAGAATGGCTGGGGTCTGCACGGCCTTGTTCATTCCACACCTTTGAGCAATAACTTCTCATTGGATTTCATTTCATTTTTACCAATGCTTAATAAATAAGCCTGAGAACCTTCTGGTTTTTATGCCACTCCTGCACAGGAAACAGGTGGCGTGCTCACATTCGGGTGACTCAGGACAGTTTCATGGAGAACTAGGCACACCACTGTGGGGGTGGGGGACCGCAGGGGGCCCTTTACCACGCCGGGACCCGGGGAGACACGGGGCAGAGCAGAGACCTCCAGAAGCCCAACCCGCTCTGTCCTGCCTGTCTCCCATCCAAGGTTGTCAGATAAAATGTAGCACTACAAATGATGTTTTAGGCCCGGCGTGTCCCAAATATCACATGAGATGTGCTTATTCTAAGAAATTGTTGCACTGTTTATCTTAAATTCAGATTTAACTGGGTGTCCTGTCTATTTGCTAAATCATCTAACTCCTCTAAAGCCAGAGGCCTGGAACCTTCTCTTCTCGCTGCCCCCATGCGGCTTCCTGCATCCCCTCCAGCCGTGGTGAGCCCCAGGTTCTGGGGCCGGCATCGCAGAGTGCCTCAGCCCGGCAATGTTTGAGCCAGGAGAGGAAGAAGGCTGGTGGCTGTGTCTGCTCTGTTTCTCCATCTTACCGCTGCAAGGCTGAGAGGCCAGTGGTTACCAGAGGGGCCCTCTCCCTGCTTTTGGCCTAAACGGTCTAGAGGTCCCAAAGCTGGGAGGGCTCTCCGAAACCATCTGCCCCAACCCCCTCATTTCACAGAAACGAAAACTCCAGAAGTCCCACTTGGCTGACAGTTGCAGCAGAAACCCGGCATCCCACCCCCCTGCCCAAAGTCCTGCCCACTGCGTGGCTCTACCTCTCCCTGACGTCTCAGCCTCTCTTCCTTGCTTTCCCATAACCACAGCCTGGGGATGTGCCCCCAGTGAAAACAGTTGGGTTGGTTTTGCTGATTGTTGAGGTGACACTGGCTCGTTGGGCTGGGGTGGTGGTGGGGGTGGGGGCGGACAACGAGCCACCTGAGAGGCCTGTCAGGATTCTGGTGGCCCTGTCACGGGACACGCAACTCTGTGCACTTGCATCTTCTGTCCTTGGCGGGGGGCTGATCTGGGCTCCTTCACCCTGTCCTCATCCAGGCGCTGATTCCTTCCCAGCTTTCACCGGCTGCACGCACCAGAAAGGTGTGACACGCTTTTCCACTTTGTGTGAAGGACACTGTGTGTGGTGCTCATGCATTTGTTCTTCCTCATTCTTTTTTTTAAATTTTATTTATTTGAGAGAGAGAGAGAGCGCACACACACATGAGCAGGGGGAGTGGGAGAGGGAGAAGCGGGCTTCCCGCTGAGCAGGGAACCCGATGCGGGGCTTGATCCCAGGACCCTGGGACCATGACCTGAGCCGAAGGCAGACGCTTAACGACTGAGCCACCCAGGCGCCCCACGTTCTTCCTCATTCTTGACCTTTTTCCTTCTTTTTTTTTTTTTTTTAAGATTTTATTTATTTATTTGACAGAGAAAGACACAGCGAGAGAGGGAACACAAGCAAGGGGAGTGGGAGAGGGAGAAGCAGACTCCCCGCCGAGCAGGCAGCCCGATGCGGGACTCGATCCCGGGACTCCAGGATCATGACCTGAGCCGAAGGCAGTCGCTTAACCAACTGAGCCACCCAGGCGCCCCTGTCTTTTTCCTTCTTAATTTGTAGGAACTCTGTTTTATATTATAAAGATTAACCATTCATCTGGCATACAGATGATAAGTATTTTTTTTTAATCTATCATTTGTGTTTTGACTTTGTGGATATTTGAAAGTAACATGGTTGAAGATTTACATGGTCCCGTATCTCTCTATGTCTCTCTTTTTCTACATAGCTTTTGGGTTTCTGCTCTTAAGACATTTTTTCAGATCCCTAGATTATGCTTGTCTATTCATCAGATAGCTTTGTCAAATCTTAACATCTCTATAGCTGCTTCAGATCTTTTCACTATAAAATTTTCATTATAAAATTATTAAAAATAGGGGCGCCTGTCTGGCTCCATTGGTGGAGCAGGCGACTCTTGATCTCAATCAGGGTCGTCAGTTCAAGCCCCACGTTGGGTGTAGCGATTCCTTTAAAAAATTATTGAAAACAGGGAGCCTGGGTGGCTCAGTTGGTTACGTGTCTGCCTTCGGCTCAGGTCATGATCCCAGAGTCCCGGGGTGGAGTCCCACATCGGGCTCCCTGCTCAGCAGGGAGTCTGCTTCTCCATCTGACTCTCTCCCCTCTCGTGCTCTCTCTCACTCTCTCAAATAAATAAAATCTTTTAAAAATTATTTAAAACAGTAATTATAAAAATAGTTAAAATTTACATTTAGAAATAAAACCATTCAGCTGATATTGTCAACATGACAGTTTAGCAAACCGTAATTAGCTGGTGCTCTCTGTGATCACATTGAATTGAGGAGAGAAAATGCCAAAACTGTGTGTAAGAAGTTGCACTGTAGGGGCGCCTGGGTGGCTCAGCAGTTAAGCATCTGCCTTCAGCTCAGGTCATGATCCCAGGGTCCTGGAATCGAGCCCCGCATCCGGCTCCCTGCTCACCGGGGAGCCTGCTTCTCCCTCTCCCTCTGCTGTTCCCCCTGCTTGTGTGCTCTCTCTCTGCCAAATAAATGAATAAAATCTTAAAAAAAAAAAAAAAAAAAGCTTCATTGTAGCCTGGGAGGACAGAGGCATTTCCAACAGGTAAAGCACTTCCCTCTGACATCTGGAAATCTCCGTGAGTTGAAATCTTTGGATGAGCATAACCAGGTGGTTTATGTCCTCTAGTGTGATTGGAGAGCACCTCTTCCCTTTCCAAATGGAGGCTTGGGTCCCGGGTCCTTTTAGCAATCCCCGGGCCCGTTTCTATGACAAGCAGTCTTCCTCCTAGGTGCCCCTTGAGCCCCTGCTGCCTTTCAGCTGACCATGCTGCTTTGCTGTTTGCAGCCTGGGTCAGGGTAGCCTAGCAGGTCCTTCCAACCATGGTCATGTTTTTCTAGTCTTTTCTTCCATTTCCTGCCCTTCGCTTTGATCTTTGCCCTCTGTTTCTCTTCAGAATCGCTGACTTCTGGTTTTACTTCTGTCTCTTCTTTCTCGGCCCCGCCTGACTTCCACTGGGGCCTCTGCCAGGGTGTGTGGGCTGCTACCCTCTCAGCCGGCTCAGGTCTCTTCCTTTGAAAGACATGAAACCTGACATGAGCCCCATCCCTGCCTTCCTGCCCCAGAGGTTACCCCCACCCAGGCTCAGGTATCCCCTATCCCCCCACGTGCTCTTATTCTATAAATGCAACACAGGGTCCAGACCCTTCTCCTGCAGCCTGCAAGACTGGATCGGTGCGAGTTTTTCCCCGGGTCTCCTGGGGTGTCCGTTGACGTAATTCCTTCTTGGGTGCCGCATCCACGCCTCTCTTCTTACGTGTGAGCCCTTCACGAGAGCGTCTGCCGTGCACGGCTGCCCTTGACTAGAAGTTGCCAAATCCGTCGCCAAAGAGGTTGCTGAAATGACTGCCCACCAGAGTTCCCATTGCTCCCTGTCCTCACCAGCACTTGGTGCCGTCAGACGATTTACTGTCTGCTGGTCTAATGGGGGTGAACGAGAATGTCATTTCCTTCTTGGTTGCCTCTCCTGGCTTAAAATAGAGGTTGCCTGAGCAAATTTTTAAAGATTTTATTTATTTGACAGAGAGAGAGACAGCGAGAGAGGGAACACAAGCAGGGGGAGTGGGGGAGGAAGAAGCAGGCCTCCCGCCGAGCAGGGAGCCCGATGCGGGACTCGATCCCGGGACTCCAGGATCATGACCTGAGCCGAAGGCAGTCGTCTAACCAACTGAGCCACCCAGGCGCCCATTTTGGTGGTTTTTAGTATATTCACAGGGTTGTGCAACCATCACCACTGTCTCATTCCAGACCATTGTCATCATCCGAAAAGAAACCCTGGACCCGTTAGCAGTCACTCCTCATTCCCTCTTCCCCCCAGCCCCTGACACCCACTCATCTCCACTCTGCCTCTGTGGATTGACCTGTTATAGACATCTGGTATAAATGGAATTGCTCAATATGTGCCTTTTTGTCTGGGTCCTTTCACTCAGCGTGTTTGCAAGGTTCATTCATTTTGTAGCCCATCAGTAATGACTTAGGCACTCGTCAGGCACAGCGTTTCCACCTTTTGGCTCTTACGAAGAATGCTGCCGTGAACATTTCTGTATACATTTCTTGTGCGCGGGGACAGCCCATGACTCTGTGATGTTTTGTAGCCATAAAGTAAGTCTGAAGAGCCCAGCGCAATTCGGTCAGAAGTCAATAAACGGGCACTCTGACGGGCCGGCTTTTGTTGCTATTGCTTCCTTATGGCCATTCTAGTGGGTGTGAAGCTTTGAAAACACATTCTTAATTTTCAAAGCCTCTCATCAGAACTGCAATAGCACGTGCGCTAGGATGGGGTGGGGGCCCGGTGTGGACACAGGAGGCCCGCAACACCGCCTTCACTGGAGAGAACCCTGCCCTTGCCCGGCAAGCGGTTCAGAAATGTTTTCCACTGTGAAACTCTTCATCGCTGCCATTTGGATGGGCTTTTTTCCCCGAGATGATTGTTGCTTACATTGTACAACCCCAACAGGTTTGGGGAGCTGAGCCTGTGACTCCCACAAGGGACTGAGCCAGACCCACCACAAACAACAGATACCACCTCTGAGGGGACTTCAGACAGGGACACGGTCAGAGATTGTCATAGCGTATCAAAACCACAATGTCCAGGCATATGCTGTTTACTAGGGACACACCTAAAACATGACTGCGCAAGATTACACGTGAAAGAATGAGAAAAAAGATACACTTCGGCACCTGCTAACCGAGAGGACAAAATGAGCTTTGGGACAAAACAAGAACATTTTGGAATAATGTTAAAACAGTTTCAAAACACATAAAGCAAAAATTGACAGAACTCCAAGGAGAAATGGACAAATCTAGCATCAGAGAGGGAGGTTTCTATGGGCTTCCCTAGAAGGTATTTAGGTCAAAAAAAGAACAGTTCTGTGCAGTTGCAGGAAACGTGAACAAGCCCATGACTCCCGGCGCTCTGACGGGCCGGCGGCCCCCCGGGCCCCCCACGTCTGTGAGTGGCATCGAAAGCCATAAAGCCCAGTGCGATTCGGTCAGAAGTCAATAAACGCACACACCCGCAATTACCATACAAGTTTTACAAATCATCATGAGAATTTTAAAATACAACTACATTAATAAAAATAACTCCATAATAACACTGGTGGGTGATGGTACTTCAAGTGAATCTTATAGCATGAAAAGCTGACATAAATTCTTTCTATGAGCCTTTTAAGTACACGACTCGAACTTTCCACACATGTAAACACGATTGTGACCTCTATCACCACAGATTGGTTTTGCATGGAAGTTCACATAAATGGAAGCATATGACCTGTGACATTCATACACATAATAGCACGTACATTCCTTTCTGTTGCTGAGTGGTATTCCATAGTATTGAGACAAGGAAACTAAAGGGACCCCACGAAGAACGGCTTTTTTTCGCTCCTTTTCCTGTTTCTGTTCTTGCTAGGAGCTACGCCCCCGCCTTACACATGCCTCCTAGAACAGATAGTCTATGTCCTCCTTGTGAAGGTCAAGGATTTAATGATTTTTTGGAGTCTTCCAGTCAACAGATAACACCTAAGGGGTGACCGGACAGGGTCGTCCAGAACATTTTCCAAGCCCACTGGCTCCTCAAGACCCCTGGCTCCAGGGCATAGGAGGACATCTACATACTCATGTTTGTTCCTGGGTTACTGAGGGGACACGCACCAGACCGTCGTCCTCAATAAAAAGCCCAGATGAACTCATTCCCTTTTCCTTCCTGAGTCTCCTGGACGCTGCCTGTATCTACACTCTCGTAGGTCTTCGATAAACTCTACTCTCACTTTCTCTTGGCTCGCAGTTGATTTCTTTCCTGCATGAAGCCAAGGACCCTTGTGGCTGGTCCTCTGGAAGCCCCTCTGGGTCCTCAGACCCACCCGGCCTGCATCAGTGTGGATATTGGACAGGTTTGTGGATCTGTTCATTTTGTTGGTGGGCATTTGGGCTGTTTCCAGCTGCTACGGACAAGGTCTTTGTGTGGACATATGCAGTCATTCCTTTTTGGTGTAACCTAGAAGTGGAATCGCTTGCTAGGGTAGGTGAAGTTCAAGTTCCAGAAACTGCCCAACAGCAGATAGCCTCTCCTCTCTGCTCCCTTGGGGTGTACTCAATAAACTTCTAGCTCCTTAAAAAAAGGAAAGAAAGAGAAGAAAAGAAAAAAGCAGAAACTGCCCAATAGTTATCCATAGTATCCATAGTGGCTGTCCCAGTTTACACTTCCCCTGTCCTCACCGACACTTGGTACGACCAGTCCTTTTAGTGTAATCATTCTAGTGTGTGTGTGTGTGTGTGTGTGTGTGTGTGTGTGTGAGAGAGAGAGAGAGAGAGAGAGAGAGAGAGAGAGAGAGAGACTGTCTTCTGCTTTTCTCTTGCATTTCCCCTTGACTAATGAGGTTGAGCATCTCTTCCTCTATGTCTGCCCTAGTGGGGAGAGCCAGAGGCAAGGGCGGCAGAGAAGGAGAAGAGGGGTCGCGGGGAGGACAGCCCAGCAGGGAGAAGCACTGGGGGCCTTCAGGGCGGGGCTCCTCCTGCTCCATCAGCAGTAACTGGAGGTGAGGTGCTTTCTGGGTCTGTGGCCCTGAGCCATGGGAGAGCCACAGGCTCTGGGCGGGGCCTCTCCTGGCTTTGTTCCAGACTTCCTGGCTTTGGTGGGAGGGGCCCTCGGTGCCCCAGTGGGCCGTGGGTAGCAGGGTTTTAAGGCACACTCCCACCGTGGGACAGCTAGGAGAGGAGGGAAATTGACATTGCCAAAGTTGACCCCAGAAGAAAGAGAACAGCTGAGCAGAGAAGAAAATGGGGAGAGACATCAGCCAGCCAGCCCCGCAACAGCCTCAGGCCTTTCAGAAACAGGTAGTTCTAGTGTATTAAATAAAATAAAGAAAAACCTCCAAATGGGTTTTGTGAAACCAGAAGAACCTTCTCCTCGCAGGAGAACAGACTCTCTGTGGGTTCATTCCAAGAGTTCAGGCT